AAAAAAAAAAAAAAAAAAAAGATTAAGAAAAAAAGAAACTTGTGGGCTGGTCACCTATGTGTTTAATGTATTCTCCCATATTTTATGTTTTGTCTTTTGCTCTGAGAGTTTTTTTTTTAACCTTGTTTTCTATCTTTATATACATTTTTTATTTTGAAGACACTTTCTTTGTTGTGTTCCGAGTGTTCCCTTTTCTCAGCATTCCAGTGTCGCTTTAGGGGTGATACTTCTCAGATCTCCGTGCACATACAATTAGAATCGTCTTTACTTTGTTTTTATGGCTTACACTTTATCATTTGGTTTTAAGGGTCAGTTTTCCTGTTCGCTTATTCTGGGCTCTGCAGGTTGACACCACTCTGCCCAGCACCTCTCGGGTGCGCCTCCTCTGCCCCCACCTCGGGTATAAGAACGAGGGGGTGTTATTCTGAGTTGTCAACGTCTAAAGAAGTAGCTGAGCTTTTTTTGTTGTTTTTCTGGATTTTTTTTTAGAGAAGGGCTTTCTGATGAATTTCTAGCGCCTGAATTGGAAATTGAGGGGTGGATAGATGAGAAAGGAAGGGCTCGCTGATGGGGTTTTCTGTCCCTCAGGTCTCCAGGGTGCCCGCTGTTCTCCCCTCCACGCCTCGCTGTTGCCCGCCTCCTGCGCTGACTTTGGGCTCAGAACCCGTGGCGATTGCGTCAGGCAGCCTGGCCGTTCGTTCCTCCTCCCAGGCAGCTTCTGCGTGTTTTGCATCAGCCCATGCGCATGCGTTTGCCATTTTCATGAAGTTCGGTGTCACGCTTCCATTTCTCTTTGCTGCTGCGTCGTTATTCCTTTTACTCCTTCTCTACTTTGATTCTAAGGGTGTTCTCAGAGAGAATGGAAGGCAGACTCAACGTCTTACCTGCTCTTCCACTCGAGCCTTTTAAGGCCCTTGCTTAACAGCACCTCTGTCTCGCCAGTCCTGGACCAGCTGCTTCTGGACGCTCCCGGTGCTGCTGGGGAAAGGCGACGTGGCTGTGCTGGTTGCTCCACGACAAGGCGCGTTCCCGTCTTCGCAGGCCCCGTCTCTGCCGAGCACTGCAGCTCCTTAGCCGCAGCCGCTTCCTTCCCTGTGCTGGTGGCTCCTTTTGTGTTTTTTTAAAATCCATTTCTTTGAGTGCTTTATCTTACCCTGGTCTTTCTTTTCTTAGCAGACAACTTAGTATTTCACATTAGCGAGAAAATGGAGTAGCCAAGAATGAACTCCCCCAACTTTTCTCTTCTGTCCCTTCAGAGTCACTTATCTAAGACAGTTGTATTTTCAAAGGCA